GATGGGTAGAAGCCGCTAGGAACGAAGCGAAACAAAGATACGGAGATTGGCTACAAGAAACGCCAACGAGAGGGGGTCGCAGAATAGCGCCGTATACCACAAGAAGGAGAGTGGAATGCTGGGCGTGCGGGGGTGAACACAAACTTAGGTTTTGCCCAAGTATAGAGTTGACAACGAATAGTAATGCGAATGCACCAGGGAGGAACATGGTAACCGCGGCAAACTCGATGGAGTTAAGGGAGAATTAAAGGGGGGAGATGTAGTATTATGTAAATTTAAGATGGTACGAAATTTAACATTTTTATAATTTTGTTATTATGTATATTTAACATTGTACGAAATTTAAGATTTTTATATTTGAATAATAATAGTTTAATATTTATATGTTTATATTTCGAAAATTGGTAATATTTGTACTAGATTTAAGATTTACATATTTGAATAATGAGATTTTAATTTTTATATAATTGATTCTTCGAAAATTGTTTAATTTTATATATATATATATATATTTTTTAATTCTTCGAAGTTCAGTTTTGGATAATTTGGATTCTTCGAAAATTATTTTATTTTTTATTGACCGATGATTTTCCGATTATTAATTTAATAAAAGAATTTACAGACGATATTGGATTATTAATTTACAGACGATATTTTGATTATTATTTTGGATTTGATAGAAGTTGAATAAAGAGTAAAAGTAGTGAATTAGTATTAGAAATTATTAATAATTATATAATTATTATTAGTTCCATAGATATTCAGTCTCTCCCACTAGCCTCAGCAATAAATATCAATCCCATATTGGTACACTGGATATTGTGTTTCAAACCTAATCAATTTAAAGGTCAGAAAAAAATTATTATAGGAAATAATCTTTATGAAAATAAAAAAATTCGGGTTTTTTTCAAGGTATTTTTTCCCCAGTACTAGAAAAACCATATTAGTGCAAAATGAGGTCTGTGTTCTCAAGTTGTTTCTAAGAGACAATTAAAGAAAAAATAGTATCCTTAAACATAAGAGAGAAGTGCATTACGGTCATAGGCATAGACTGGTCACCCCTTTAATCTCTTATTTATTAGACTATTTTATATCTAAATTGTTCAATTCAAAATTTGAATATTTATGATATGTACCTTATCTAAATTCATTTATTCAATTGAGTAATCTATTAAAAATAAAAAATAAAGAAAATTAATTTAGTAAAAAAATTGCCAATCAAAATAACTCATATTTTATAGAAATGTTTATCTACATGATTTTAACATTATTCACACAAAAAAATTAGAACTTACAAGTCTTATTTAGTATCCATATTTTTAGGCATTTCATAATAAAATTTATATTGAAAGAAGCACGTTTAACATGCAGATATAATTAAGATTAGTAAAGGTCACGGTCCGATTTTTGGTCCGGACAGATGCACTCGGACCGGTCCACAGTCTTCGATCAAGGTCGTGAAAAAAGCCAGTTCTGAACTGGTCTTCTCATTTTTTTTTGGCATTTTTAAAATATTCTTGTTTTTACCTAATTTAATTCTTGTTGACTCTAAGTAGCTAAAAATTCACAAAAACTAAAATAACTCCCCTAGAAAAATAACATAAAATAAAATATACAAAAAAATTATATTAATTGAATAAGACAAACTTAATGTTAATAAAAGACCGGTCTGGACCATAAAAAATAAAAGACAAGTCCAAGATATGGTTTTCAAAAAAGATCGATCCGGTTCCGGTCTAAGATTGATACCGGACTGTTGATCTCCACTAATTAAGATCCCAATTTTTTTCAAAATATAATTAAATAGATGAATCTGGTGATAAACTGAGATGTTAATATTAAACTAACGTATAATAAGTTATTTAAATCAAGAAATATTAAGGTTTGCTCTTTACACATATTCATTATCGTTTAGCCGTCAAAACTTGCCTAAAAATGTGAAATAAACTATTATAGGTCAAAAACTATTTTAAATAGTTATCATTCAAATTATTTTGATTACAGATTTGGCTACACATTGATATTAAATTTGTTCTAAACCCAATTCTCAACATTCTTTACAAAAAAAAAAGAAATCAGGGCCAGTCATGCGACTTCTCCCCTATTTAATAACATTATATTCGTCATTAAATCCATATTATTTTAGATCATAATTAAAAGAAATTAAATTGATTTTAATATAAATCTTTAAATAAAAAAAATTCTACGTCATATTATGGGGGCTAGTGAATTGATTGTAAATTTTATTTTAGTCTAAAGCCTCTGAGTGGTGCTAAAGATTATGCATTTTTAAATTTGGTGTTGGAGTGGCCAGGAGTAGGGCTGTAGAGCATAATATTACAAATGTAATATATATATTGCTTTTGATATGACAAGAATCTAAAAGTGGGTCTGGGTCTAAGAGAACGTATAAGATACCAATTTTTTCAAAAGATGGTCTATATTCCAAACCTTTACCTCTTTATATCTTGGGAAGTATTGTATTTATCATGAGATTCCTACTACTAAATAATAATAGGGACTGGGCAGTATGATAATATAATATATTTTTTTCAAATTTATGCCTTATAATGTACAAAAATGCTATTTTTATTTTTTAAGATTGATATTGTTTAAATTTTTTTTATAGTAATAGACATTTTATTTATTAGAAAAATATCGTGTAACATAACATTAAAAAAACTACATTAAAAAATTTTCTACATAAAAATCAAACATATGAAAAATCTTATTATAAACTGTTAAAATGTCATGACCAACTTTTTTTAGTGTGGTTCACAAAAAGGAGCCAGTTATATTTGAAAATATCAATTTGCCCAATAAAATTTAGCAAAATTTATATAATTAAAACATAATTTTGATAATATAATAAACATTTAGGACATATAAAATACTTAATATTTTCTATAGTAATTCATGAAATTTGAAATAAGTCCACCAACAACACAAACGCAAAATAGTCAATGATAATATGTAATTTAAAAATTTTTTCATAATGAAACATTAGTCATTCAAAGTAAAAGCATAACCTGATTTGAAATACTAGCAAGTGTGGTTAAACGGCTAAGCCACATTTTAGCAGAAATTTATTATGCAAGCCTGAAGATTTTGGAACGGTTTGGACATCTATTAACGAAATCTCGAGGCTTGCGTTTTTTTATATATTGGGTTGGCCAATTTTAAAAATCGAGCCGTTTAACAATACTATCACTACTACTATCTATTTAAATTCTGTATAAATGTTTTCTAAATTTAATATAAATTAATTAAATTATAATCTTGCCCTGCAAAAATTTTCATAATTTGATATCAAAATTTTAAAACAAAATAAATAAAATAAAATTGTTTGGTATACCCCATTGTTGAACTAGCCACGGTTCCTAAGCAGTGACCCCTATAACAAGGGATGGGGTTCGAAACAACTGCTTCATAAAATTTTATGGGGTATACACCGTTGAAGCTATTGCTTGGAGTAGAAAAATATTGTACCCCCAAAGAGCGATAAATGGACAGACCATATTTTAAAAAAAGCATTAATTATGACGATATAAAAAACTATAGTCGAAAATATTACAAAGATTTGGAGTAACAGCAAGGTTCAAAAATATTACAAAGATTTGAAGTAAAAGCAAGATATTTTTTTTTATCAAATACATAATATTGTTTTCTTAAAGAGTATTAAAGCATAGTAAAGAAATAATAAATATTTTTAATGATTTATCTTGTTCGTTAAAGTGTACGAATCTGATGATAGTAATCATGATATTGATCCAAAATCATCGATGAACTTTCATCTGAAACAGGTCTTATTCTAAACCAAAAAATCCAATTTATAAAAACGGTAACCAACCGATATGAATTTGTAAACTAGAATGAACCGATATCAATTAGCTCAAAAATAACTGAAATTGAACTAACCCGTTCTAAAATTTCTAACTAAAAAAAGGAATAGAACTATATCGTTATATACCTATCGGGCTCGACACCTTCTCCTTGATTTTAAAAAGAAAATCAACCCCCCTCACATATATTTGTATAGTATATAGAAATAATAGTCGTCCTCTAATAATAAGTAACATGAAAAGAGATGCTTATAAATCATATGGTAAAGAAATACTGTTATGATGAAGGTCATAATGGACAAAAAACCTGTCATTATTTGCAGCAGGGTGCTTGTCAATAAGTTCTTTGTACCCTTTATCGAAGTCAGGAGCAAGTAAATCATTGCTGGAAAAACAGTGCAGAGCAAATTTACTATATTCAAACAAATTTCTTTCAAGAATTCCACATCTCATTTAAATAAAATATTTGTTTATGAAGATATGGTTATGGCGTTACAGGTTATATACTTATACCATTATTTATTAATTTCTGTAATATCTATATTATGTTTAATTATCTTTAGAATAAACAATTGAATGATATTCGCAAATATTATTCGAAAACTTAAATATTCTATTCGCAAAATATGAGCAGCAATTAAATTTATTTCTTTTTAAATTTATTTCTTTTTATATGAAGAAGAATATGACAAACCAAGGGTGCCGTATCCAGGATTACCGAGGGATGGGAACCTTTTCTTCTCATAAACATATTTATGAGGGAAAGAGGAGTTGGGGGGGGGGGTAATTTTAAAAGTTTAAATTTATACTTACAAAACGTGAGAATTTTATACAAAAAGGTAAACACAATATAAATTTTTATTATAAAAAACAAATAAATTTCAAAATTATTTATGTTTAAAAAAAATATATTTATAATTTAAATAAGAACAATAAAATTTGTTTTAAAATTATCAAAAAAAATTGATATTCTTTAATAATATAAAATAAAATATGTATAATAATTTATTCAATATTAATGATATAAATAAATATAAATAGAAGCATCATAATTAAAATATAAATTTTTATCACTATTATTCAATATCAATGATATTAAAGTTAATATATATAATTTATAACAATAATCTTTCAAAATTTAACAAAAATGCAAATAATATCTGTCATTTTTATAAATATATATATATAAATAAAAATATATCAAGAATCAACAAATACTATGATCGTACTCTGTATTTGGGTCAATAATTAACAATGCATAATTTGTTATTTCAAATAATTTTTACTTATAGTAAATTATTTTTAAAAAATCTTTTCAGCCTAAAAATGCTCTGAATCCCCTTGGGTAAAAAAAACAATAATAAAAATGTTGTAGTATATTAAGGATATATATATATGTAGAAAAAAAATCCACCCGTTATATCATTTTTTTCATTAAGATTATTTTGATTTTGTATACATAATATATATATATAAATAATCATAATTTTGGAGAGAAGATGTATTTTTTTTTTTAAACAAATGTGTTCTACGATAATAATTATTTTGGAAATATAAAATTGGGAAGAAGATAGCTTCAGGGAGGTTAATAATCATAATTTAGGGTTCTTTGGGTAAGGAAAATACGATGATGACATAATAGGCGTGATAAGATGATCAGGCTCAACACCGCCGTTAATTTCGTCTTCATTTTCTGTCATGTCCTCAATTTTTGCGTAATTTATCATTCTACAACTATCGAGGATATTATCGGAATCAATATTATCGCTATAACTATTATTAACGTAGGAATCGAAGCCATTTTTGTGACTGACATTCCTCTTGCAAGGATGATAATCCTGTCTAACGCGATCGTAATCGAATATGTTGTGTTCGGTCGTTACTTTGCTTCTATCGATACAGACGATGTTGGTCATTTTATCACTGTATCCAATTGTAACTTCATTTCTACTAGTAACGTCACCCACATTGTTAACCATACCATATGAGGTGTCTGTATGGCAGGATACATGCTCCGGGGGGTGTATGTGAAACCGCAGGCACCCACATCGGTCCACCTTAATCTCGCGATTATCACATTCAGTTTCGTATAGTAGAATGGGAGCACTTTGAGAAGAAACGCTGAGTTCAAGAGGGAAGGCTAGGGCAGTATCCGTGGGGTCTATAACTCCAACCCCACCTCCAAGGCGTCTGAAATTCATGGATCCAAAAGCCCGCCAGGCCTCGAGGGCAAGATCAAATACTTCCGCGCTCTTAAGATAGGTGGCCCCGTCAAATCCACCAACAGCTACTAGTGATCCGTTGACCACCGCTAAACCCACCTATGTCCGATTTTTTTGCGTTTTTATATTTGTGTATAAATGATAAAATATATTTATATAATGAAGAGAAACCTAATGGAAACCAAATTTTAATCAATAATATCTAATAATATTGATTTTGTAACTTTTCTTTTCCTGAGCATTTTTATTTTTTAACATTCCTAATTTTTTATAATTTAAATATGAATAATGGAATAACAAAATATATTAATGTTTTGTAGGAATAATGAAGTTGTTCATGAACAGTAAAAAAAAAATCTGCATCAATCGTTATCATAATTGTAGTGATTAACGATGATTTTTTATTCTAAATTTATGTTTTACTTATGTTGTATATAACGACTGTTTATATCATTCTAATTTTATGTTTTATTCATTTTTTAGACTTTTGTTTTAATCATATTTATAGAAATAATTTGTGGATATAAGTTTTATGTTTCGTATAATGTTTGATGGATATACAAACTTATATAAAAAGATTATATATATACATATAATATTCGTTTTTCATGCACAAAAAGAATTATTATACTTTTCAATGAAAGAATTTTTTTTTAATTTCTTTTTTTTATATTTTTAACTTTAATTGTTTATTAATTTTTTACTATAATCTTTTTATAATGTTAATTTAAAATATGTTATTTATTATTTTATAATTAATAAAGTTGAATAAAGGAAACCATAAATTATCATACCCATCATCAACAATGGTACTCTAAACTATCAATTCTACAATAATATAAAAAATCTTTTTTTCTATTCTAAATTTTTTGGAAAAGAATAATTTTTATCAAAAATATTTTAGTTACAGCCTATTTACACTATATTTATAGTTATAATAAAAAATATGATGCATATATCCTTTTTAGTCACATAATTTCTTTTCAAACTCATAGTAACATTTTACATTGAAAAGGGACATTATGTTGTTATAAAAGGGGATAGTTAGTATGAGTTTGTAAAAGGGTACCATAGGACTAAAAAATTTAAATATGTGATATTTAAAGAACATTTTCTGAATTATAGGTTACGCCCAAATCCATATTTCTCATTTTAAGGTAATAGTTGAGAAATTATTTAAAAAAAACTAATAATCTGAGTGTATTATATATATATTTTAGTTATCTAAATCGAATATAATAATCTAAAGATGTTATATTATTCTGTTTTACCTTTCTATCTTACCAAACCAATCGAAACCCATATAACTTCCAGACAAACATCCTTTGAAAAAATTTAATCCATCCCAGCCTTTATTTTATCAACTCAGAAAAAAAATTACATTTACTCTCTCCAAATGAATCCCTTCGCAAGTAAAATTGCAACCTCCTTTATCTAACTTTGAAATTCACATAACTTTCCTCCGCATATATATCATCATAATTTAACTCGTTCTTATCTTTGTGGTTAAATTTTACTAGGGATGTAAGATAGGAGAAATTTCCCCTATGGTTTCCCCAATTTTTATAATTTTTTTTGCTTAAATCAACATGATTTTTATAATATTATCATTTTCCCAATTTTAAAAATGGTCTTATGCAGGGATGTGAACCCGGACCCTTTTAAAAAGTGGAGGGTCCAAGGGTTCAGGGTGTTAAAAATTTTAACTTAAATTTTTTTTTTTTAAAATTAATGTAAAAATATAATTTTTAAAAAATATTATAAAATTTTTATAATTTTTTTCGTGGAATCATTTATTTTATCTTCGCGTTTTTCTTTCGTTTTTCTTCCTGGATTTCATTTCATTTTATTTAGATAGTGATACCATACATTATTTTATAGTGTAAGTAATAATATTTTATTATGTAAATTTATTTGCTCTTATTAGAAATACTTTGACTATTTTGATTTGAAAGTGAAATATTTGGAATTATTTTGTACTGCAAGTAATAATATTTTAATTTTAAAGGCTAATTTATTAATATCTTATATAAAAATTTTATTAAGTGATTATTTTGCAGAGTTAAAATATTAAGGTTATGTTTTTTGAGCAGTAAATTTAAATTAATTAAAATTGGCATGTTTTGCAAATATATAATTTTATTATAAGTTATCAAATATATTCAAATCATCATATCAAAAAAATTAGTTATTTTATTTAGGCTGCATCCAAGTTTTGAAAAAATCCTTAAAATTTTCACAAATTAATAACAAAACACCAGTGTTGTTAAACGCTACTTTTAAAAGTAGCGCGCTATCGCTACCGCTATTTTATAAAAAAAGTAGCGCGCTATCGCTACCGCTATCGTTTTCAAATGAGTAGCGCGCTATTAGCTACTTTGATTTTTTTTTTAAATATTTTTTTTTACGTAACTTTATTTCCACAAATAAAATATTGATATAAAAACATGACTATAATTTGTTACATATATATATATATATATATAATTTATTTATTATTGCACTTTAATAATAATAACATTTCGGTACTGTCATCCCCAAGTCTAGAGCGACGTTTAAAAGTATAAGCTTTGCCATACTAAATAATCGTTCAGCACTAGCACTTGAGGGCAACGCAGTATTAAATTTAATAAACAAACTTTTTATATGAAAAAAATCATCAAAAATATTTAAATTAGTATTTTTAGATTTAAAAGCATCTAGAGGTTAATTAAAAATACTTCAGTATATTCTTTAATAAAAGTATGCTCCTCCACATTAAAATACTGTATTCCCATTTGATCCAATATATAATTCATTTCCATTTTTTTCTCATCTAGAAACAATGCTAAAAGTTTCATAGCATTGTAAACACTATTCCATCTTGTAGTGTTTGGTGTCAATAAAAAACGTCCTATTTTTTTTTTGAAAATATCAGACGTCTTTGATGACTTATTTTGTTTATTCCAAAGAGCTTGGCATTTAGAAAATGTAGATCTTGATACTCTTTTAAAATCCTCATTTAATAATGCTTCTTCAGCATCCACTGTCGCAACTAAATTTAGGTTGTGGCAGGAACAACGATGATGGCTAGGTAACATAGAAGACTTTATTGAAGATCCTAAATATTATAAATTTTATTTTATATTGGTGAAAAATTAAATATAAAATAATTTATAACCAAGGATGTCATGAACATCAATTATCTCAAACTCCATTTCATCATCCTCTTGTTTTCCATCTTCAATATTTTTGTCAGGAATATTACTAGTATTGTTATTATTATTATCTTCCCCAGATATTCTATATTATTTATATCATATTATAAAAAAATTATAATAGATTTAAAACCTGAAGGCCTTCAGGAAATTAGACCCATTATCCGTAATCATCTTACAAACCTTGTTTTGAATTTTGTAAGACCTATGGATTTCTGCAATAATATTGGCTAGAATGTCATAAGTCTGACAGCCAATTATTCTCTTTAGAGCTAACGCTACAGATTTTCGTTTAAATTTTTAGGATCAATCCAATGTGTAGTTACTCCTAAATAAGCTCTAAAAATATGACATATTATAAATCAGAAAATAAACATTTTTACCTTCTATTGTGAGTCCAGCAATCTGCCGTTGTACAGACGTAGGAGACATCTGATAGATTTAATATCAAAGATTCTTTCATTTCCTTAAAGCTCTCCAAAATTCTTGCCATCAATGTCTGCCGGCAAAATATCTTGGTCCGTGGAGAAAAAGTGTTTATCATCTTTATAAAAGAATCATTTTCCACCAAGGATAATGGTTGAACTGTATCTATTATAAAGTTCATAATGACTTTGTCAGCCAATTTTTGGGATACACCAGGTGTTGATGAATCCAAATTGGTTAATTTTGTTTGTATTAAATTTGATTTAGAAGTGGGTTTATCTTCTTCCATTACCCCAAAACTTTTGAGATATTTTTCAATCTCTTTATAATTTGAAGTGTGCACAGTCTAAAATTATAAAATACTTAGAATAAAAATTATGTAGGAGATAAGTACATAAAAATGATTGAAATAACTATTTTAAAATGTTTTAAATAATTTAGATAAAATTTATGAATATATACAAAAAATGATTGGTTTTTGATTTTAATTTATTTTAAAAATTAAAGATTAGCCTACACATTGATATTAAATTTGTTTAATATATTACCTTTAAGTGTTTTTTCAAATTAAAGCTGCTCGTATGATTTGAAGAGATAATTTTGCGGCACATCTTGCACCGAAACCGATATCCAGTATTAATTTTTTCTTCAAGGTTAAAGTATTTCTTGAATTTTGGGAAAGGATCATCTATATTGCTCATTTTCCAAAGAAATTTCAATATCTTCAACAATCTCACACATAATAAGATTTATAATGCTTAATATAAAATGTAAAATGAAATATAAAATAAGATAAAAGCAAGGACATATCAATAACGGAATTTCAAAAATATATAATTTAATGAATGCGCGATATATAAATTAAATACAGATTGCTATTTAACAACTGTTTATATCTAATATATAACAATAATGTATATTTTTAAATATAAATATAAATTTCAAAATTAAATTAAATAAAAGGATTATAATTTTAGATTTTATAAAAAATATATTTTAATAATTTTTAGATGTATTTATTATGTAAAATTAAAAGTAGCGAAGTAGCGCGCTACTTCGCTACTTTCTAAATTAGTAGCGAGCTACCGCTATCGCTATTTTTTTAAAAAAGTAGCGCGTTTTAGCTACCTCTACTGAAAAAAGTAGCGCGCTACTTGTGGCCCGCTATTTTAACAACACTGCAAAACACTTTGGACACATTTAAGTTTTAAAAAAATTAAAATATTCAAAATGCTTGATAAACATATGTAAATATTTAATTGTATTTATTATTTTATGTTACCTTTCAGTTATTTAACTTTGTATGAACCTATTTGATAATTGATAATAGTTATGTTTAGATTCTATTTATATATTTAATAAATACTATGTTGTAAAATTATATCAATATTTAATAAATAGTTGGAAAACCAATAATATAATCTATTTTGAAAGATAATTTTTCCATAAAAATATAAAAAATTATTATTTAAATAAAATTGTGATAGAAATTATATAATTTTTCAGCACCTTTTAAATTAAATAGTAATTTTTTATTTTTACCAAATTATAATTTAATAAATTTAGCCTTTACAGCTAAAATTTTCTTTATCACTTGATCATAATTCAAGTTTTGTTTTTCCTATTTCCTCCAAATTTTCCTATTTTCTACAGAATATCCAATTTTTAAGTCATTTTTGCACCAGAGGTTCCTGTGCATTCCTAATCTTTCCATAAAATTATTTTCTGACACTAATATATATTAATATAAAAGGCTATAATCGTTTGGGTAGTAAATTTATAGAATTAACAGCATTAATAAGAATTGTACTTACTAATTTTTTATAAAAATTTCATGAAATTGGACACTATTTTATTTTTACATTAAAAATAGATTATCTAATTTATTTCTTCAAAATTTATTTATTTATATTTTTAAGATTTCGGATGCAGACTGATTAAAAAATATGTACATTCATGTGTCTATACTTTTAAGTTTTAAACAAGTTAAATTTTGTTTTTTTAATATGAAACTAAAAGATATTTTGTTAGAGTACTATAATGCAACTAAAGAGGATTCTGAGTGCAAAACCTATTGGAGGCTATAACAATATCTACTGGTTGTAGCGATAACAATGATAATGATAACGATATTGATGATCTGGAAATTTTATAAATAGAGATGCAAACATTTTAAAATTCTAAGAGGAAAATTCTTCAATATATCCAAAAATATATACCTTGTCTAGAATCGTCATGGCTGTCCGGCGACACAAGTACAATAATTTATGTATTATAAAAATGACTATCTATTTTAGGTAAGCGTAGAACGTGGATTTTCATCGTTGAAATATATTTTGTCTAATTTACGTGGAAATCTGAAGGATGATATTTTAGAAGATATCATGATTGTGCGATTGAATAAAATATTTAAAATATAAATTATCTCATTTCGAATTATAAATGTGTATATATTGAAGTATAATAAAAAATGAATGAAAAAAAGTCTTATTTTGAGTCATTATTTTTATGTTCCCACCCGGACCCGAACCCGGGTCCTTTTTAAATTTATTACCGGACCCGAACCCGGGCCCTTTTTTTTTGTCGAAGAGTTCACATTCCTGGAAATAAATACGATTTATATTATATTTTATAAAAAAGTTTTTTCCTCGAGGTTCATATCATAAGTTATAATTGAGTTTTATTTTTGAATATATGTTCTTCATTTTCTTATCTCCATTTACAAAATTCTAGAAGATACTTGTTAAAATTAAATATCTAGTCTAAAATGATATTTATATTATAAATATATACAAATGAAATTTATAAATAATATAAGAAATTTTAAAGGTTATTTTTAATAGAGAATATAAATATATAATAGTAATCAATTTCACAGTTTTTACATAAATGTGTTCAGTTTTTAGTTGAAAATTTTTAATTTTAATTAATTTATTTACAGTCATCAAATCAATATATACAACATAAATGCTATATTAACGTTTTTAAATTGCTCATGTTTGACCTTATAGATGCCTAGAGAGTATTCAGATGTTTGGTCCTATTTTTATAGATACAAAGCTCAGATAAGAAGGGCTGTATTGCTGTGTGCAAATACGGCAATTTAGAATACACCTTTCCCAACTCAACAAAGATAACAATACATATTTCTAAATGCAATAGATATCTTACTATTTAAGTAATTAACAACTATGTAGGTCCAGTAGAAGTTCAAGTCATAACCCCGCCAAATAATAATGCTGCTGATTTCAGTACTACATCTTCCAATATTAATTCTAATAAAAATGATAATATAAACAAAAATGAAATCATTTCAAAAAAATCAGTAACTTTCATACAAAATAATTTAATGAAATACATTGATAATATAACAGCCAAAGAACAAAGTAAACTGGATATTGAATTTGCACAAGCTATCTTGTCAAATTGTCTATTTTCAATAACCCATTGTTTGTATTGGAAGAGACAATTTCAATCCTTAAGACCTGCTTTTAAAATGCCTTCCAGATATTTACTAAGCAAAAACTTATTAGAGAGTGAATTTAAAAGGATCAAACATATAGTAAATGAAAAATTAGACAAAAGCAAACATTTGACTCCCATTAGTGATGGGTGGACAAATATAATAGGGGAATGCATTATCAACTTTATTCTGGTGTCCCATTTTCTATAAATCGATTGACACAGGAACAAACATGCATACAGGGGAACACATATCAAATGAATTTTCCAAAGGATTGAAGAGATGGGAATTTAAAAAATCAGCACCATAATAAATGACAATGCAGGTAATATGAAATAAATGGGCCCTTGTAAAAATGAAATACCAAACTATTGAACGCATTCGATGTGCCGCTCATGGATTAAATCTACTTCTATGGATATAGCAAATAAAATATTATCGTTTGAAATTTTAGTCACAAAAGTTAAAAATATCATCAAAAATCTAACAATATTCTATCAACCAGAGTTGTTAAAGTAGCGAGCTACTTGTAGCGATACTTAGCAGGCTATCTTTTTTGGTAGCTATAGATAATAGCGGCTACTTTTTTTGTAATTATTGAATTTTTTTAGTGCGCTACTTTTTTTGAAAGTAGCTAAGTAGCGCACTACTTTTTTTGAACAAAGAATATAATGAAGGTAAGTTTAAACATGAAAATTTAAATATAATATCATAATTAATTATAATTTTTATGATTTATTATTTAATTTTGAAATTGAAATATATTTTCAATTTGTAATTTATATTTTCACTTGTATTATAAACCTAAATCACGTGTTAATAATTTAAAATGTCATCGCGGATATCCAAATTGTTGAAAGTGATTCAGACAATGGTATTAATGAAATGGAAGATACCAGGGAAGAAAATGTTCTTAATAGCTATAATACAAATTTCCCATTCCCTAGATTTGAAAATTTTTTTAAATAAATATAAAAACCAAAACTGGCTTCTTATTTATTTGTTTAAAATGTAAAAAAAATATTTCCTCAAATCAATCAGTTATAACCTCAAGAAACATCTAAAGGTAAATTGTCATTTTTACATTCTAATAGTATTTATTTTATAAGACTGTTCATGCAATAGTTTTAAGGAAATGGAGAAACATCTAAATAATTTTGTTATAGGCGACTCTACATCCAAAAAGACTGATTCAATTCAAACCAAATTAGTTAATAATACAAATGCCAAAATTTCCCTTGGCTGAGAGTTATTGATTTTATCATTAATACAGTTCAGCCAATGTCCTTGGTTGATAATCCATCATTTACCATGATGAAAAATCTATCCACCGATACAACAATTTTATGTCGCCAGACACTAATGAATAAAATAGCAGATCTTCAAAGTGATGAAAGATGCTCTAATAGTAGTTATTACAGAGATATCATATATATGTACCACGGCAGATATTTGGACACATAACACAAAATAAAAACTTATAAAATGCAACAAATTACCAAAAATATTTATTTTTATTACATAAATTTTGTTATAATCAAAATTAACTACAATAACATTATAGGCAAAAAATGAAACAACTAAATTTTTTTTATAAAAAGTAGCTAAAGCTACTTTTAAAAAATAGTAGCTAATAGCGCGCTACTTTTAAAAAATAGTAGCTAATAGCGCGCTACTTTTAAAAGTAGCGATTAACAACTCTGCTATCAACCTTAAAAGATTATGATAAATAGCTTGCTAAAAAATAAAGATATTCAACAGGAAATGACAATTCTTGATATATTTACTGTTCGAGATAAGAAATTTACTCTTCTCGATAACGATGTTTTTTTTAAATGATCTAATACAAGTATACAATTTTATAAAAGTTATATTTACACAAATAGAGATAGAGAAAGTAGAAAAAACCAATTTACCTAATGTCCTTCAACCATTTATTCATACCCACGAGACAATATCAAATCTATTGTTGCAGAGTGAGCTTTCAGAAATTGAGCAGTTTATTAAAAACCGAAAAAAATTTTGTTGCCGGGAAATACATTATGTTACTCATATATTTGACCCAAGATTTTGCGGATTTAATTTAAGAGACAATTAAATTGCAAAGGGGTTGGATATCATTAACCGATTTTCTGAATATCTAGATTTATTTTACGAGAGTAATAAAATAATTTCTGCAAATGACAAATCGCTGGATTTTAGGAATTTCAAGCTCCGATCTGGAATCATTTTCTTCTTCAAACGAAGATAACTAACAAATTACTCAAAATTAACAGTCTATAAATTTCTAATAAAACATGTAAAGAAATCACAAATTAGTTGAAATAAATCATTTGTTTAATTATAATGTTTATCTTAAAAAAATCAATATTGACCTGTAAAGTATTATAAAAAAGATAGTTTCCAGTTTTATCCCATTGCCCCCCCCCCCCCGGGAAATTTCTCCAAAATATAGTTTCCCGGGAAATTTACATCCCTATATTTTACCCAACCCCATTTTTATATATATTTTTCCACCTACCTTGTTCTAATTATTCCACCTTTTAATTGCATATATTTATCATTAAAAGTTCTTTTATAGGTAAAAAATTTAATAATCCAAAAAAGAATCATAATTCATAGTTTCTTTTTTAAAAATAATCTTATGTCTATTTTAAAAAATATATAATAATCTTGCTTAAATGTGTGGGCTAAATTATGAAACTCACCCCGCTTCGTCTGGAATTCATATCGGGCAGTGGGGTCCAGGTGTCAGTGCGCGGATCGTATCGCTCAACGCTATCGAGCTCACGCGTATCATCACGACCGCCAACCGCATATACATAACCCTTGTAACACGCCGCACCCAAGTGCTTGCGACGGTGACGCATTCCACTCACACTCGTCCAGCGATTACTAATAGCGTCGTAACGTTCAACTTTTTATTATTTTAAATATACTATGAGCTTGGCAATGGGATAAATTTTTCAAAATTTAAAACTATATAATATCTTAATTAATTAATTATACATAGATAATACTAAATATAATTTTTTTTTATAAAAATTTTATTTTTCAAAGTATAAAAAATGATAATGAAATAAATAAGAACTCTCTTACTTATATACCGCTGGGTAATTTCATATTCATAATAAAAAATAATACATTCAATTTAAATATAACTCAATATCCAATTTTACAAAGTACACCTCCCCCCTTCTAGGCAGCAGCACTACCCTGGTTTTGCCTAGCTGTTAATCCCATCATTACTAAATATGCAGGCCCAGCCCGGGTATTTAAAAAAATTAAAATACGGCAGCCCAGGTACCCGGGCCAATTATTCAAAATAAAGTATTGATACCTGTTTTAAAAAAATATTTGTTATTTCTTAAAAAAGATTTGATTAATTTTTATCAATAAATCATTAATTAAGGATAAATAAAAAATATGGCAGTTAATACTACATAAAATTTTATCTGACTACCACCAAAAAGGCGCAAAAGTAAAGATAGTATTTCCTATTTTATCATTTTTATTTATGTTACCACGAAATTTCAAAATATAAACTCAAATTTATACTATTGGTTTCTATTTTATACTTTTATTATCGATGTTTAAAAAATCCTTTGGGTAATATTTAATTAACAAAACGTGGTCAGCTGAGAGGGGTAAATTAAATGTTATACCTATATACATTCAGAGCACGCATATTCTTAGAATTTTCTAGCTTTAAGCAATTTCTTGGAAATCACTTTAATAAATTAAGATCCTTAATATTAAATTTTTACTGATTGTAATATCATATCTAACAATGATTAGATCATATAATTTATCCTTGGTTATGTTTAACTCTCTATTGCGTACATCATATTTGGATACACATACCATAAAAAAAGGTATAAATTTTAATATAAAATTTTTTAGTTTAATACACATGATGTATATTAGAACACATATATTTTATTTATTTCTAAGTTAATTTTGTTAAAAATGAAAGACAGCTATTAATATCAAAATTCTAAAATGCATAGTTTATAACTTTCGAATAGTTGCATTTTTTCCATTTTATAAATTATGTCATTTCTCTTGTACAAATTATTAAGGAACAGGAAGTTAAAAATCCTATTAAATAAAGGTAAAAGAAATATTATTTATATTATTAAATTAAGCTCTTTTTAGCCTTCGATACTATTAATATATATTTTTATTTAGTAATTTTTTATATTTTTACCAATGAGATATATAATACCTAGACTGACGATTCATTCATTAAAATGCATTTTTAAACGTGGTTAAAAACAAATCAGCAGGACCCGCCATTTTGGTAACACATATAGTAATTATTCTCATGTTAAAAACTACTATTAAATTGATAACTCGCTTCCTTATTATCTCGATGATCCGGTAATTCTTTAATAAAGTTTGCATCAGATATAGGAATAAAGGCTCTCGTTTAAAATTTTAATAAGGATTAGTCTAACCAAGATGGCGTCTCCAGCTGATTTGCATTGATGTACTAATTTAATGAATGAATCGCCAGTCTAGGTGTTATATGTCATTGATTTTTACATAGTTGTTTTAATATTTAAGTGTTTTATCATTTTTTTATAATTATACCAATATCAATATTATCAATAATAGATTGTTATTCATTAATAGTGTTTAAAATTTAAATTTTAAGGTACGTGTACCCAGATACATAATGCGCACAAATGCAATATGAATTTGAGTTTTTTTGATTATTTTTTCAATATTATTAAATGTTCTTTATTTGCTATCTATAGTCAAAATGTACTGTATTCTAAAAGATAGTTCTGACTCTAACTTTAGTGGTTCATCAGATGAGAAAATTCTTGATTTAAGATCAGTAGATGTTGATTCTAGCGGAAATGTGGTATTTCAATTATTGGTACCACTACACTTCAATTTTAAATTATGTTTTGATAATTGGTTCTGTGGTGTAGAACTTCAAGTATTACTCGACTAAAAGGGAGTATTTCTACAGCGAGAGCTAATAGAATTTATAATTGCCAATTTCCAACAGAAAAAGAATTCTAAAAGTTGGAGCATGGATTTACATAAGATCACGTAAAGGGTATCACCGTATAGTATTCCATATATTTGATTCTCATAAATCTTGGTTAATGCATAGGCGAGATTTTGTAGCTTTAAAGGTACTGGTAAAAGAACAGATGCCATTATTAACATTTAAAATTTCAATAGCAAATATTCTGTAAATGTAATAAAAATATGAACGCTAGCATAAAAGAATATCAATTGACACTAAATATAAAGAAAAATCTAGCAAGTGGCCGACAAGTCTTATTACTCAGAAAGAAATAAGACAGGATTTAATAGCAAGCCAAAATATAGTAAAAAGGCGCGATGCAAAAACCCTGGGTGTCGAAAGTGATTTGTACCAAATATGGTGGGTCATTATGTTTTACTACAAAAAACGATTGTTTTAAATTATTCCATGAAAATTAATATAAATTTGTTTTATTACATTATTTATCAAAATCAAATTATCATATAAAAAACTTGTTATAAATGATAGAAAAACGGGATGCTTTCCAGAGAGGCTATAATTCTTATGGAATCGACGTTCGGCCTTCTCTATTTCCAAGTGTAAAAGCATACTTGGTATTAATTTACTAAACAATCACTCAACTTAGAGCTTGAGGGTAAAAAATCATCTATTGTAATCGTTTTCAATTTTGGTGTCAAATTTTCTAAAGAAGTCACAAGGCTATTTGGCTACTTTTTATGCTACCACTATTAAATTATAAAGGTATCAAGGCTACGACCAAGAGACATCGAGTCTTATATTCTAAAATATGATGAAATTATTTTTATAATAATGATAGTATTTTTTTAAATATTTCGTCTATTTATATATTTTTCTATTATAATGCTTAGGTGCTTATATATTTTTCGTTCTATCTTAAATTTTGATATGCATTTTAGAAATTGTTTTATTTTGTTAATAACCTTTTTATATATATTATTTATTTGTTTTGTTAAACAATGTGTCATTTATTAGCAAATCTTAAGGTTTGGGTAATATTTTTCTGGCTAAAATATTAAGTTAGCCGTTTTTAAAAATCGGCTCAATTCAAAACCTTTAAAAACACTACTGTTTAAAAAACGGATAGAAGCATTAAGCTAAGTGATTTCAAAATTATGCTTAAGAGTCATGATATGAATAACGAATTTTTGAAAATATAAGTTGATTCAAAATATAATAAGATTTTACTATTTCACATCTTTAACTATTAAATAAACCGAAAAGAACAATATCTGTACATAGAATCATATGACTCAAAAATATTTCAAATCGGGGAATAAGAAACCTTAATGTATTTAGATATATTTGATTTTAAATCGCAATTCAAAATTCGATGTTTAAGACTCAGGTTAAGATGTGCCGTTAGATTTTATTTGGCTTATATAACTGGTTTTTGTTTATTGATTGAAACTAATTAATGAATTTGTATGTACTAATCAGGTATTACATATTGGCGGAATCATATATTCAGTTCTATATTTTCGTTCTAGCAGCATGATGCCTATTTTTTATCATTCTGCCAATAACTTACATTAAACTATCTACCAAACGAGTTCAAGGTCTAAAATATATTAAATAGGCACTAATTATTGAAATTTACCCACTCACTCTCACCCCTTGGATTCCTTTGCGCCAAAGTACAGTAGTCATATAATTATTGGTGATTTGTTATATAATTATAAAAAAAATTACAATAAATTAACACTTTTATATTTATTTTTTTATTGGTTTATTTTGCATCGGGCTTAAAATTTCTTCAGGATTCTAAAAAATAAGTAATCCAGATTATAGAAAAAATGTCTCATTGAAAAAATATTTGTTTGAAAAGATCGCGATTCGATCCTTTTAAAAGGATCGATTACCAAGTATGTTGGTAACAAAATTAAAACTTTTATTATAAAAAATTTTTAACTTCTTTTATTGAATGAATGTAAAAAATTACTCGCATTCGTCTTTTTTAATGTTTAATATTATCATTTCCTATTGTTTTGTTTTCAAAATATTTTTCAAGTTATATTTTGATTAAACAGTGCGCGGTTAACAACCTACTTTGAAAACAAAACTCAATCTAATAGTTCTCAGCAAAATAAAAGTATAAAAAGTGTTACAACCAACCAAGATTTAGATGTTTGATTAGGTACTAATCATATTACTTCCAACTGAAATTTATTGCACAAAAAAGAATCATTCTATTAGCTTGTGATAAAAAGATTCATTTTAAAAGTTCTACATTTTATAAGGTAAAGGGTTGGGAAACGACTAAGACAAAGTTTAGACGACTAATAGCCAACAAAAATAACCATTGCAATATAAAATTACTACGATTAACAGTCTAATAATCAATTTTAAATAGCAGCTATATAGTTAATATTTATTTTTAAATCAGTGAGCCATATTCCTAATGACTATAAATGAAAAGGATATATTTTCATATTAGAATATTAAAATAAAGATGTTTAGGGATATGGTTCACTTATTTTTAAAAAATAACTAAAAAAACTATTAGCCCAAACTAATTAAAATTGAGTATGGCTATTAATCATAGTCGCTTTTGTATAGCGTGCTCTCTCCAATCTCACTCCTCTCGTTGAAAGCTCCACCTGCATTATTTTCCCATTTAATGGGTACGAAATTATCGAGAAAATTTCTTCCAAGAATTCTGGCCTTCTTTTCGAAAACAAAATTCGGCCTAAGATTTGGCTTGATATCGCACTTACGCCAACAATGCAAAAAGACACTGATGCCAAAGGCAGAATAGTCTCCATTGCAAATCCTTTGGCAATCTTTTCCCCCAGCCTTATCATTGCAGAATAAATTACTTCAAAACTAGAGCTTAATGGGCTACTATCAGGACCAAAACGTCTCGACGATATAACCATAATCCCAAGGACCAGAGGTCAATTCTTAGTATGGGTCTTTTCGTGAAACAACTCTAATAAATATATTAATTTATCTTTTTAATATTTATGGGGTTTCCTTCTGTTTATAATTATTTTTATTATAATTGTATCTTAGGTATGATTAATAAAATATTTTAATTTTTAAAGTAAGAATGGTTATGATGGAGAAGAGTTTATGTAAAAATAGATTTCGTATAGGAAAGTTGGAGTGAGTCTGATGCGCGATGAAAAAAGAAGTAGTTACTAAAAGTGGGAAAAGGAGTGGGGGGGGGGTGAAAGTAAAAATAGGTCAATTATTACGTACATAGGCAAGATATGTTAATCAAACAAGAGCAAAAATTTAAAGAAAAAATTAATAATTAAATAAAAATGCTGAAAAAATTTAGAAAGAAGTTTTTTTTAATGTGTGTGCAAAATATCTTATGAAAGGTAATAGAAAGAAAATATTTTTTTAAATGTAAACCTTGATGATTTAAACTGCTAATCGTATATCACATACATTGAATATTATTTTTTACAAGGTTCAAGTTTTTGTAAATCTATAATATTGATTCCTGACAAAAAAACTATTTTAGGATATAAAATATAATGGGCATAATTGGAGTTAAAGAGAACCCCTCCCCCACCCTCAAATTTTTCTTTTAAAATTAATATATTACATTTTTCAGTCTCAAGAATTTAAGGAATGATATTTAAGTATGCGTAAATTTTTATGTTGGTTATATAAAAAATACCTGTGTTAAGGGGTGAAGTGCCATCAGCACCGCCCACTGCATATAAATAGTGTCCCAGGACAGCCACGGCTACTCCTAGCCTTCGAGTTTTCATGCTGGCAACTCTGGTCCATTTGTTAGTGACTGGATTATATCTGATGTTTTATAGTCATTTATGCAAAAAAGAATATTTTTTATTTATTTAGACAGTTAACCCTTTCTTTCACGATAGGCCAAAATATAACCCACCACTTTTTTCAAATTTTTGCATAATAGTACAATATTTAATCCATCTTTAAAATGTATTTATTTTATTTTTATATATACTCAAAAGATTATTTTTTATAAAACAAATAAATTGATGTTTATTTCATATTTTTTTAAAAAATCTCGTTAAAATTCGCATTATTGAGATTTCCGCACTTTTGTAATTTTTTCCAGATTTTTCCCAAACGGATATTTTAAAAATTCATATAAAAGTATTCCTGTTTTTAATAATTATATTATTTATAATCGGTTTCAATGAATCCTACTTTGCAAAATACCGCCAACTGATGAAAGGACATCAGTTCAGATTATGATGAATCCTTTGCCTCAGAAAATAATATGCCTCTTGTAAATTTATTATATACTCCCACACATTGGAAAAATGATTTTCAATTAATTTCTACACCACCTATTGACTTAAAAATATCGGAGATGCTGAAACTCCATAAAAAATAATTCAATTATTTGAATCTGATTTTCTTCAGAAATTTTTGATATTTCTAATTAATTTATATGCAGCCCAAAGTTTAAAACGTTAAAATAAATTTTTTTTCTCAGTATAGTTATTATTATTAATTAATAGATTTAAATCTGCTAATATTTTTGAAATTGGAATAATTTTTTTAGCAATTACAAGCTAATGGGGGATGAACAAAAATACCAGCCTACCGGGATTATTGGAGCATAATGCACGAACAATATATAGCCAAACTAATGTCTGATAGGTTTGAATGGCTGCTTATCCATATCCATACAAATGATAATAATACTTTGGCCCCCTCGTTTATGTAGACAGCTTTTAAAAAAGTGCCTTTGAAGATTAAGAGATATGCCACCTCATATTTACCTATAGGATCTGGGCAAAGGCGAAGATATTTTCATTGTTAACAGTTATCGATGGATTTGTGGCGCTATGTCTCTCTTAAAGTGAAAATTGTTTTAAACCGTATCATTGTAATAGAATTAAATAAACTTAAAAATAAAGGCAATTGGTAATAGGATTGTTAATCAAATATATTTGCTAATTGTGTATTATTTCATTGATGTATTTATATTGATTTGTAAAAGGTATATAAAATGACGAAATTAATTACAAATATATAATAAAATTATTTATTGTTTTCACGATAGTTCAACGGCATAGTACAAATGGAAAAATTCAATATAAAGTGCGAGATAGAAGTGTATTTATCAAAGATGGGATTCAATTTACAATCGCCAAAATAGAGGACAAGAAATGGTTTTTATTAGCAAATATTGGATTAGAAATTTATTTAAAATCATTTACTTTGTATTTACCGAAGAGACTAGCTATAAAATCATACGATGATATAATTAAGCTTTTAAAAAATTATTACTCAAAGAAAACTAATTTTAATTGGAGAGATATTTTTTCGAAACGGAATAAAGAAAAGGAGACACTATTACAAAATATATAAATAAATTAATGATAAAAGAAAACATGTGTTATTTTAAAGAGATGTATAATAAATACAGTGTTATGTGATAAATTAGTGTCGGGAATTGCAAATGAAAAAATATTAATGAAGTTAAACAACACTCCAGACATGACATGGGAGAAGGCTGTTTAAATCGCCACCAATGGAGATGACGAAAATATAACGTAAACAAAATTTATTAATTATACCGAAAAAAAAATTGTAATTCTTTAACGTTTTTAGGTAACGGTGCGTCTAAAATTGCATTGACATTCTTATTTGTTGTGATTCCCCCTTCGCTAATAGTATGACCTAAGAATTCAATTTTCTTTAAATATATAAATGTAATTTTTTTAGATTTAATCTCATATCGTTTATTTCTACGTTTTTAATAAATTTATCAATTTTTTTTATCAATCTCGATTATGATTTCATATGAAAAATTATCTGTAGGAAAGGAGATAAATAAAATTTCAAAAACAGTGGCAAGGAAGAATTATGACAATTATAAACCCGTATCAAAAATTATTTGTTATTGTTGTGGATTAGAAAACCACATAAAACCAAAGTGCCCAAATTTAAATGTGTGGTATAAAAAGACATTTATTGAAAGTATACAGAAACGAATGATAGATGTCCCAAAAAAGGGGCGAGAAAGTTTTGAGTTGGGATTCTCCAGAGCAGTCGTGGAAAAAATTTGAGGTGAAATTATTGATAGATAAAATATTTATTAATTTTTTAATTGACACAGGATCAACGGATATTATTTTAAAATCTTATAATAATTTAATAATCGATATTAAAGGTAAATGTATATTACCCGTTAATAAATTTATCTTGAATTTATAATTGTAAACAATGGTATTAATTTGATAGGTAGAAATTTAATAAATAAATTTAATTTAATAATAACCAATGCAATACAAATGAGTAATATTGAACAGAATTTTTCATAATTATTTATTAAGAAATTAGGTTTACTGAAAGATTTTTAAACAAGATTATCGGTAAAACCCAACCCCAACTTTCAATGTCTTAAAACAGACCGATACCATTTGTGTGGACGAAAAATTCGAAGCGGAATTACATTGGCTGAAATCCTCGGGAGTTTTATAAAACTGAAATATTTGAATATCACTTCTCCGATCTTGCCTACTGAAAAATGGATCCTTATGCATTAGCGGTGACTTCCGACAGATGGTTAATGCAAATATTTTGATTGATCAATATCCTATACCCAGAATTAAATTATTAGCCAGACTAAGTAATGGATCCAAATATATGATATTAGATATATCAGAAGCGTATTTTCGAATAGCAGTAGATGAGGAGGCGGAAAAACTGTTGGTGGTCAATACGCCAAGTGGATTGTAGAGCTTCACACCACTTCCGTTTGGGGTAATTTTAGAGCCAGTCATTTTTCAACAAGTAATGGATTAGTATTAAAAGGACTACCTGATGTAGCAGTATATTTGGACGATATAATAATTAGTGGGGAATCAATCGAAATTGATAAAAAAAATTGATAAATGTATAAAAACGTTAGAAATAAACGGTATGAGATTAAATCTTAAAAAATGTAATTTTTTTAAAGAAAATTGAATTCTTAGGTCATACTATTAGCGAAGGCGGAATCACAACAAATAAGAATGTCAATGCAATTTTAGACGCACCGTTACCTAAAAACGTTAAAGAATTACAATTTTTTTTTCGGTATAATTAATTTTTATCAAAAATTTATAAACAATCGACTATTGCCGCTCCGTCATATATGCCAAGGATAATGAGAAAAGCAGGGGTTAGAACCGAACCCGAACCCGGAGAAGAAAACAATTTGAACCCGAACCGAACCTGAACCCCGTTTATAAAATTTTCAAAACCCCAAACCGAACCCAGGAATTTTATTTGAACCCGGGTTCAACCGGGTTCAGTGTATTGCTTAAATTAATATAAGATATTTGTATAATTGTAAATACAAATATTAATAATTTACTTGACATTTTATAATATTTTTACATTCCCAATTTAGTGAAGTGTTAATAAATTTTAAACAACTTAATTCATTTACACCATTTTTAAATTTATTCTCAAAGATTCCTATTGGATTGATAATAAATTTCAAACAATTAAATTCTTTACGCCATTTATTTTTAATTTTTAACTTATATTCTCAAAGATTATTAATTTGAGGAAAATGAAATTGAACAAGTCAAAGTAAAAATTACTATATTGGATATTGTTAATTTAAAGAAATACGTCTAAATTAAATTTTTTAAATCTATACATGACTATGCATTGTATTTTTAACTATATTTTGCCTATAAATAAAATAAAAAATTTATTTTTTATACCAAATTTATGTCTAGTTTTTTAATTATGATTTAAATATAGAATATTTTTTTTTATCAATTCAAAAATTCTTAAACCCGAGCTGAACCCGCCAAACCCGGGTTCATAAATATCCCTGAACCGAACCCAAACCCACCTATGTTTTTAACCTTAAACCGAACACGAACCGAACCTGGGTAAAAATTTTGACGGGGCATCCCTGAAGAAAAGTAATTAATAAATTTAAAAAATTAATATCAGAAGCACCAATTTTAACGCATTATAATCCGAAAAAGCCAATAATTTTAGCTACCGACGCGTGACAAAATGGAATAGAATCAGTTCTATCTCATAAAAAGGAGGAAAAGCCGGTTGGATTCGCTTCTCGAATATTAAATGCCGTAGAACGAAATTACAGTTAGATAAAGCGTGAGGCTTTAGCAAACAATATTTATTGGTAATCATTTTACTATAATCATTGATCATAAACCACTTACTTATATCGTTATTTAACCCACGTAAAAGAATAACAGATATGTCGTCAAGATTAGTAAGATGGTCATTACTACTAGCAAATTATGATTACGAATTGCAACTTCGAGGAACGAAAAAAATAGCAATGCAGATGTGCTTTCCCGTTGACGATTAACTATCTGCTTGGGGTATCGGATGCTCCACAATTTATTTTAGCGTTAGATATAAAATCGTACACAAGAAATGACACGATATTATCAAAAGTTTCACGTCACATTAGAACTAGGTCGCTCAAAATAATAGAGGAAAATCTAAAACCGCTTTTCCAGCGCCGAAATGAACTCATGATGGAGGCAGGGTGTATACTATGGGGATTAAGAACCATAATTCCAAAAAAATTACAAGTAAATATTTTGTCTTTTTTACATAATGAGGCACCAGTGTTATATTAAAACAAAATTATTGGCACAATAGAACGTTTGGTGGCCTAATATTAATGAAGACATTGAATTACACGGTAAGAATTGTGATTTATGTCAAGCAAATAACCCTAACGGTAAAACTATCATAGGGAAATGGCCCCTCGCAAATAAACCATTAGGAAGAATTCATTTAGATTTTGAGGACTAACGGAGATGTAAATGGTCTGAAATACAAAAACTTTCGACAGATAATTTTACCAAAGTAAGAAAAATATTGTTAAGGCTTTTTGTCATTTTGGGTTACCCCAATACGATTGTTACGGAAAATGGGCCTCCATTTCAAAGAGAATTCAGTATTGCAAATAATTAACAATTAGAAATGTATATAGTGTCTCTTACCACTCAAGAACCAACGGAGAAGCGGAGAGGTTAGTACCTTTTAAGAGTTTTTTTGAAAAAATAATAATGATTATAATAAAATACAAGATTTTCTTTTTAATTATCGAAATACTCCACAATAACCACAAAACAATCACCAAGTTCAATTATGCTTAAATTTCAACCAACAGGACCCTTACAATTAATAAAACCAATTTATCCTCATCCATACATACCCCAGTTACCAGGTTTTTTAAATATAAATGTGAAAATATATTCAAAAGATTTTTAAAAAAATTTTTGGATACCAGGTATCATCGTTTTTAGCTGAGACTAAATTGGAGAAAACATATTAATCATTTAAAACGTAGGTTAGATAATTCCCATTTTAAAAATAGACAAGAAGGAAGAGAAGGAGAAACTATGCAAACTATACCAAGAATGGGTGAATTGATCCTATACAATACTCGATAGCCAAAGACATTGATACTATATAAAACTCGACAGCTAAAGGCATTGGATCCTATAAAAAACTCGATAGCCAAAAATATTGATCTTATAAAAAAAACTAAATAGCTAAAGACATTGATCCTATACAAAACTCGATAGCACAAGACTCGATAACCAACCAGCATAAATGAAAAGATTGAAATTGATAATACGGATCAACCCGTAGTAGGGAATGAAAATATAAGTAGCCGTTATCCTAAACAAATAAGAAAACAATTTATATCGTTTCAAATGGAGAACCCAAAAAGGAGAGAATATATGTAATAGAATCAATTAACCTTGAAAATAAAGGCAATTGGTAAAATGATTAATTGTTATTCAAATATATTTGTTAATTGTGTATTATAATTAATTGATAACTGACAAAATTAATTACAATTATATAATTAAATTATTCATTGTATTCACGATAGTTCAATCATGAATAATAAATCATAAATATGCTTATTTGCAAAGATCCCACTTTAATTTTGTATAAATTATGAAATATTTTTTTATTTTAAAAAAATAGGATTATAACGAAATTATAAGATTTTTCCTTTATATTTTCATTATTCTCAATAAAAAATTTTATCTGTGCATCGGACTTTTTGGTCATAAATTTCTGTGCATGAAAGGGTTACTCTTTTCGCAATGTGTAATGATTGAAAAATATATCATTTGATTAGTTATTAAATAAAAATTTATCACAATCAAATTAACTGGTTATTTAAGCCGAATTTAATTAATAAGTTAAAACTAAATTAACAGTATCTTAAATTCTACAATTTTATTATAAAATAGGAAAATACCTTTCAACAATGTTGAGGCAGGACATACCATCCTGCCCGCCAACGGCATATAAAAAGTTGTCAAGTACGGCGACACCCACGCTCGTCCGACAGGTGCTGGTGGGGGCTACGTCGCATGCCCATGAGTTTGTTTCAGGGTCGTACCTAGTTTCATTATATTAGTATCCTATGATTTGGACGGAAAGGTCTAATAAATATGACCAGATATTTGACCCCACTAGTTAGAATTAAAGGTATAAATATTTTTTTTAAAAATTTCATAATAATCAAGTGGGGTAAAAATAAAATTGAAAAAAGCCTTTTAGTGATTAATATTTAGTGGATGATAACTTTTATAATAACATCAGTGTTATACTAAAGTCATTTCTTTTATTGAATATTTTCAAAGGATATAACAAATAATTTTTATTTCTAAAGTAAAAAAATTGAAAATTTTGTCAAGGTCAAATTATATTAATATATTTCGAAATTATTTTTAAAGGAAAGCTTGTTATATATAAATGTTATATTAACCAAAAAAAATAAAACCTTTCAACGCTGTCTAGGTAGGACTGACCATCGTGACCACCCACGGCATACAACAGTCCCCTAAGTGCGGCTACGCCTACACCGCATCGTCGCTGATTTATTTTAAGTTTTTAATTTATATATAATAATTTTTATCAATAGTATTTGATTATTTTTATATTTTTTTTACCCAAAAAAAATTTTAAAAATTTTGTCTAACTTGTTGAAAGAAAAGAGTCAATGAAACCTTCTATTGAACTGTATGAAGTAATATTTGCAAATTCAATATATTAAGCAAGGAAAAAGATTCGCTATTATTACGCTACAATCTTTAATATCAATTTAAATGTGTATATTTATTTAATTAATTATACATATGATTTTAGCAAAATGCTACAAAAAATTGATTTGGATTTAAGAGGTAATGTATAGAGCTTAGGATATTGCTGAAATATTAACAAATATCAAAGATAACGTGGATGAAAAATTTAATGAAATATATGAGAACGTTAAGGAAATTGCAAGTATGTTTGGGATTGAAATTTTTAAACCTAGGTTTCTAGACAATACAATCGCTCAAATATTGATGCATCTAAGAAGGAGGATTTTTATAAAATAAATATTTTTATTCCCCTTTATTGATATATTTTTATTTCAATTAAAGAAAAGATTTATTAGTCATAATTAAAAAGCTATTATTTTCCACTGCCGGTTGAGCTGAATTGTTGATTACACATGAAACCCGAGAGGAAAAAATCTCAGAGTTTTAAGTTACTTTGTGATGTCGAATTTTGGTATGAAATTCTTGACAGAATCAATTATTCTTTAACCAAAAAATGCTTTGCGGCCCTCCATGTGTAATTGTAATTTAGATTCCCTATCTAATATCAAAACATTATTATTTATTTTAGCTACCTTACCGATTAGTACCTGCACTAATGAAAGGTCTTTTTCAACTTTACAAAGGTTAAAAATCTATATAAGAAATATTACAGGTGAAAACCGTTTAGATGGAAGTTCTATTAAATATTTGTAAGGAGATTATTCTAAATAAAATTTTGATTCTAAATGAATTAGCAAAATCTCAGAGAAATGTAAACCTCTCTTTATAAATTCTCAAAACATTGTAAAATAATTATATTAGTTATTAATATATAATCTAATTTTAAATCAATATATTTAAATTTATTCGTAAATTAAAATAAATTTATAGTTATAATATTTATATAATTTTTATATTAACTCTTAAAATTACAAAGTGCTGCATTTGCAATAAGAATTATTTATATTTTAATAATATCGACATTTATATGAGTTATAATTGGTAAATTTATTTTTTTTAAATGCCATTATAAGAATTAATTATATTTTAATGTTATTGTTAATCTACATTTTTTTTAAAATACTTTTTTTTACAATAAAATTTTTAATATTATAATCTGTATAAATATCTACATTTTAAAATTTATTTTATATTATAAAAAAAAATGAATACATTGTTAAATAAAGGAAAGTTTATGCTATTTTTATATAATAAATAAAATCTATAAAATTTTCTTTAAAATAGCATAAGATATAAGCAATCCCATGAAAAAATCTTGCTACGCTACTATCAAATGCAAATAATTTAACAAGGCTAGCAAAAACATTCTACAAACAAGCGCAAATTATGATTCCATTTTAAGTGACTTAGAAGAAAAATACCATGTTCTTCTCATAAAACATGGATGTTATCTTTCAATGCTAGCCAAAAAATTGTTTAGGTTCCAACAACTAGCACATCTAGAGAAATAAGTTTTCTCTATTACTGAGTTGACGTTGAATTTAAGGAGATCATCCTTATGCCGGACAAATTTAAATAAAATTATTATTTTACATGGTAACTATAAAATTACAAAATTAAGTTTCCTTTTCATTATAGATCGAAAAAGTAGTGTATATTTTATTTTTAATTTAGTTATTCTTAAAAAAATTCCATTAGCAATTTAAAAAATATATTATAAAAAATTTATGTGTGGGACGATTTACGCCACCTATGTTGACGGCGGCTAAAAGCGGCGCGCCACTGGCCACCGATAGGATTTTAAAAATTCGCGTCAGCCTCCTATAGTTTTATTGGCGCAGAGAGAGGTCTAAGTATAAGTATAAGAATGAAATGAAGAAAATATAGTATAAGTGATCATATAACATATTATCATGTTTTACTGCAATTTTTAAGAAATTTCGTTGTAAAATTAGATGGATTATTGGATCACTTTCCTTTCCCTAAATCAATAATAAATGATCAGATTTTACCCCAATTATATTTGTTTTTAAATTATGAGACCTGATATTTTTTAATATAGAGAATTATATACAAACAATAATATTAGATATCGTAGTACTTACCTTATGCATAGGAGCACCCATCTTCCAATCTCCAGTTTCGGAGTCAAAACGTTCGAGCGATGCTATTGCGTCCCCATTGCACCAACCGCCCGCTAATTTGTTAGTTAATGAGTGCGGGAAAGAGTAGAAGGTAGAAGGGTACAAGGTGTGGTTAAGAGAATTTTAATAAGTAATATATAATATGTATAAAATATTCAAAAATAAACCATGTCATCAATAAAATTTGTTTCGAGCTCTGAGCTCTTAAAACTAAAGATCTTTATTTCGGAAAGAAAAGGTTTTTAAGATGTTATTTATTAAGCAAAAAAATATTATCCTTCTGTTTTAAAAACATTATGAGTTTTTTAAATTTATTTTAAGGTTGGTAAATAAAATATTGACTTATCATTTTAAAATGAAAATTAAATAAATAAAGAAAGAAATATACAATAAGAATGTGTGTACGTTCAACAAGTGTATAATACAGTTTTTTTATCATTTATGTATTATATCAGAACAGTTTAGTAATAGATATCCCATTTGGTTCGAGAAATAGATTTGCGATCACATTAACTACATAAAAGGCAAAAACCATTAACTACATAAAAGGCAAAAACTTTCGAGATTCAATGTATTAGAAAAATGTTAAAGAAATTTGTATGTTCCAAACCTACGTAGAGGACTTGGGATCGATTAGCGGACCGACGATGGCGAGTGCGGGTGGTTTGAAGGGCTGGCCGTTCTAGAGGAAGCAAAAGGTAATCCTTGGCCTCGTCGACCAAATCGCGACATGTGGGCTCACCCCGGATTAGAGGGTGAATTCCGACAGTGCCCACCAAAAATTTTGCCTTCATTAGAGGGAGCCGAACATGTTGCAAAACCTATTTGCACAAAAATGATTTTTTTAGTAATTCAATTAATTTGTTTATGACCAAGCAAGCATTTTAACTATAATTTAAAAATACAACATCCTGAGAAAAAATCAAATGGAAAACTACGTCAAATTCTTATCCGTGCTGTTAAATAATGTCATTTAAATTTTTTAATATTTTAGCCAAATTATCAGATCGAATCAAATATATAGATTTTATAAATTATTCAAATTTATTCATACGTATAGTCAATTAAAAAATTATAATCTTTATAAAAAAATATCATCGACATCAATTGAACATGTTCTTAGTACAAAAGGTTGTGTTAAGTGCTAAACGTTCTTGTTTAATAATTGAAAAACCATTATGTTAAAAATAAATAAAAAATGTAGTAGTAGGATATAATAATATAAAAATTCTATTTAGTAAATTTTTTACATTTTTATTGATAATTATATCTTTCAATTATAAAAATGTATATTTATGGCCTTTTATATATAATAAAAAAAATACGATAGAAATATTTACTATAGCATTTAGTTTCCAGGTAACGGCAGCACTTTTTTTTAAATGATAAGTAATGTGCTTATTTTTTGGAAAATAACGAGTAAGGTAACGGTGTCTCTTTTTTAGGGATAGTAACGAAAAATAAGAACGTTACATTTTTAAAGTTATTATATTCACGGTAATGGTATTTATTTGTGAATTTAATAATATTGAATATTTATCATATCAATATTGAATATTCATCGTATCGAATATTAGCAATTTGCAGTTATTGAAGATTTGCCATATTGAATGTGAGATATTTGCCTTATCAAATATTAAAAATTCTCCATATTTAATATAGGATATTCGCCGTATCAAATAATTTTGAGTTAGTATTATATCGATTAAAGTTTAAAAAACGATAATGAATTTTACTTGTAATTCTTTTGGTATATATACATTTATATAATTATCCAATTTAATTTCTAATAATATGCAATTTGATTAACCTCGATAATATAATATTACATGTTGGAAAGTTATAATATAATATACAAATAACGTCCTTTTAAAATATATAACGTGACCTTTTAAAATATATCTTAACCTTTACAATAATAAATATTCAGATGTAACAGTTAGTATTCGACCTGACGAATAAAAAAATTATTATTGATTTTATTATTTTATGGAAGGCATTGCAAACAAGGTACGAGTAAAACAAACTTTTATTGAAAAATTTATATATTTGTTTTTTACAAAAATATATTACACTTTATATACATTTTCAGTAATCAGTTTTTGTAACTATTCACAAAATAAAATGATATAAAAATAAGGTTTTTAGTATGTTAAATAAGAAAAGACAATTTTAAACTCTTTAACATATTAAAATAGAAAAGACAATTTTTAAAAGGTATTTTGAATATCATATAATATAAAAACCTTCAAAAAATATAAATATAATATGACATGTAAATTAGTCATATTCAACATCTCCCCCTTTTTCTAAGTGACTCTTCCTCCATTTGTCATCTCCTTCGTCGATCTGGCTCGAATTAGTTTGTGCCTTGTATCATCGCTCGTCCAACATCGTTTGTTGATCCGTTGTTTGCATTTGACCTTTCCATTTAGCTTTTAAAATTTTATATACATATTTTATTAAAATCTTTCATTTATTTTTAATCATTTTTTAGATCGTAAGTCATATTTCCTGTTTTGAACTTGAATTTTTGTTTGACTTTGACTTTCTTCACCTCTTCCCCCTCTAAAAATCAGTGTAGTATTATCGTTTGTTATTGCGTTTGTTGTTCTTTTCTTTATTTGATCAAGATGTCTCCTAATAAAGTTGTATCCATTATCTATTTTATATGTCAAGTTTCATTCCTTTTGTACTACTACTCCTTTATCCCAAATATTTTCTTTAAACGTCTTGTACCAAATCTTGTCTCCTATTTCTATTTCTCTATTCTTTGATATTTTTCTTCCTAATATATTCTCGTTATCTTCCAAAGGTTTGATTAAGTCCCATTTAGTCATGGTCGTTCTTGAAAACATTACTTTACTGGGTATCATATTAGTTGTATCGGCGTATTTCTATAATTAAACAAAAATTTCTCTAAAGCTACGTCCAAGTCTATGTTCGTGTTGTTTTCCATATTTCTTTTAAGACTCATTTTCATAGTTTTTTTCATCCGTTCACATTGACCATTCGATTGTTGATGATGAGGTGCTGTAAGTATGTGTTTTATGCCATGATCTTTACAAAACTTTTTAAATAATTGACTAGTAAAATTCGTAACATTATCCGTCACGATTTTGTGTGGTATTCCGAATAAGCTTATAATTCTCATCAATTCTTTTAAAGTTGATTCCGTCGTAATGTTTTTCATTCGTTTTATGATTGGAAATTTGCTATACGCATCCACAAATACCATAAAATTGTTGTTTTCAAATTGTGCAAAATCTATATGTACACGTTCAAAAATCTTTGTTGCTGGTTCCCATGGATTTTGTATATTGTGAGGGTTATCCGAATATCTGTTACATGAGTCACAATTTTTTACCTCTAGATCTATCTCCGTGTTTATACCAGGCCACCACAAATAATCCCTCGCTAACATTTTCGTTTTACCTGCACCTAGATGTCCTTTATGTAGTTCGCGTAAAATCTCTTTTCTCATGTTCAGCGGTATTATTATTCTGTTTTCTTTAAATAGACAATGTTTTATCAAACTCAATTCCATTTCCATGTTTCTGTATGTTTTGTTTTTTATTAGTTCATTATTTCTAATATTATCAATTATTTCCACTAGTTCTTTATCATGCAATAGGTTTTTCTTTACCATCTGCTTCGATGTGAAATAAAACTGCTCCTAGTCCTTTTTTCGACGCGTCAGTCGCAATTCCAATTGGTAGATCAGGATTGTAAAAATTTAAAGTTGGCGGACTACTAATCAACGCTTTCAAATCATCAAAACTCTTTTGGTGCACATCTTCCCATATCCATTTTTCCTTGTTAACCATTTTATATAGAGGATCAGCTAAGTCTGCAAAGTTGCACAAAAATTTTCTGTAATAACTGGCCATGCCTAAAAATGTCGCTAGTTCTTCTTTTATTGTCGGTTTTGGCATGTTTGTTATGGCATCTATCTTATTTTCGTTCGGGTGAATGCTGGTTTCATCTATATCGTGTCCTAAAAATCTTATCTCTTTCTTCAAAAACACACCTTTTAGAAATTTGGTGTAAGCCGATATTTTGTTATTCTATCGAAGACTTTTTTTATGTTATTAATATGTATTTCATCATTATCACCCGTTATCAGTAAGTCATCTATGTAGAATATCACGTCCTTCATATCCCCAAATATTCGATCCAAGGTACTTTGAAATATAGCAGATGAAGTTTTTAAACCAAAAGGTAGTCTTGTAAATTGATAATACCCTTTGTGTGTTGAAATGGTCAAAATATTCCTGCTGCTTTTGTGGATCGGAATTTGCAAGAAGGCCTCTTTAAAATCTATTTTGGTGAATTTTTTTCCTTTTGATATATTTGATATTAGGTCGTTTATCAGTGGAATCGGGTACTTGAAGTCCTCCAAAGCAGGATTTACCGTGCTTTTGAAATCCGCGCATAGCCTGAGTGATCCATCACTTTTGTAAACAGGAGTAAGTGGACTTGCCCAGCGTACTTCCTCTACAGGTTCTATAATCTTGTCGTCAATCCATTTCTGTAACTCTTTTGTTATTAAATCAATTCTTTTGTATGGAATACGTCTTGTCTATAATCTTGTCGTCAATCCATTTCTGTAACTCTTTTGTTATTAAATCTTCGGTGTGGTGTTTTCTTTTAGGTATAACTTGACGTTGCTTCTACATATCGGTTTTTTGTTAATTTTTAACATGCATTCTTTTATCAAATTTTCTATCGTGTCATTATGATTCTCTTCGATATGATTTACAAATTTATCCAGTATATTTCCAAAATCTCTTATCCATGTCCTTCCTAGAAGCGCAATCTTGTCGCTTTGGACTACAAAAGCATCTAAGTTTTGAGTTTTGTCTTCATATCTCACTTTTATTTTAACGATTCCTAGCACCTCTATTCTTCTCCCATCATAGCCAGTCAGTTTCGTATCCGATTTATTCAAGACTTTGATTCCTATCTTTTTAGCAATATTAATCGGCAATATCGAAAATCGTGACCCGGTATCTATCTGCATGTCTACCGGTATATCGTTAAGGTATATCGTAACTTTGTAAGCATCATTTGCTTTATTGTCCTCTTCCAAGTTCTTTGCACCCAAATTAAATAAATTATGTTCTTTTTTGATTATTTTATCATCATTATCTTCTTTTATCTCCTCTATATCGACAGTGTTTACGTTGTTAGAATATCTGAGTTGATTATTATTATTGTTTTGATTTCTATTATTATATGATTGGTTGTAACTTTGATTATTGTTATATCGAGGTGTGTATCGTGATTCATTTTGTTGTCTGTTAAATCTATTATTATAATCACAATAGTATCGATTATCATTATTATTATTATTATTTCTATTATTGAATCTCGAATTAAAGTTGTTTCGATATCTATAGTTGTTTTGATATCGCGGGTTGAAATTTTGTTGTCTTGGGTAGTAATTGTTTTGATACCTTGGGTTGTAGTTGTTCCTTTGATAGTTATTCCCTTGATAAATGTTCCCTTGATAGTTGTTCCCTTGATAGTTGTTCTCTTGATAGTTGTTCCCTTGATAGTTGTTCCCTTGATAGTTGTTCCCTTGATAGTTGTTACATCTTGGAGTCCATTGATATCTATTTGTATAATTCATTTGTGTGTTTGACCCTTTGTTATGATCGTCATACTTTACCATACGCCTATCCATTTTATCATCTCTATGTCCTTCTATTTGTTTGATGATGTTCGATAATCGATTCAACGGATAATGGTACGAATTTTACCAGTCAACTATTTAAAAAGTTTTGTGAAGATCATGGCATAAAACACATACTTACAG